ATATATATATGTTATTTACCGGATTGGAGGTCCGTATAGAGAAATATTTCTCGATGTCTTAAAAACGGCCCGAGGCCGAAGGCTGAGGGACGTTTTTAAGACCGAGAGAAATATTTCTCTATACGGACCGACCATACCGGTAAATAATATTTTAATTTTTTTTAATTCCTCTGGATTTCCCCAATCACTCCTCCCGCACGCGAATGAAGCTGCCAAATAAAACGTCGTTTCTATCAATGCTATCGGGAAGAGAAATATCTTTTGTGAGATAGTAAAATTCGTTTTCACTGTGTTTTTCATCGTCTGCAGACATTTTAATGTTTTAAAAAGTAGCCTTTAAACTCGTCTTTAAATTTTGAAAAATAAAAACATTGGCTCTACGGCTTTAAATCTCGCGCGGTCCGTACGGGCTCATACGGACCGCTCACGTAGCCAATCAGATTGCAGAAAAGCGTAAAATATGACTTCGGACCGCAAGAAAAAAAAAAACAAAATCTGTTATAACCACTGATTCCTTTGCCGCGAAAGTTGTAATTGTAATTGACAATATGTGGCTTGATGTGATACTCGATACCGGATGTGTGACCTTCAACTTCGCTTGTGTCTTCGTGGTGCACGACAGATCTTCAACTGTATTTTCGTTTGGCCGATTTAGATCGGTCTGTATAGCTATCCCTTTTTTACATTTGCGTTTCGCCGGCATATTAGCAAGTTTTTTCGCGTGGTTTCTCGCATGTACGGTTTGTGATAAACTGATGATGAGTGAATGACACCGAAAACCCTTGCCAAAACATACTTTACTAATTTTAATCCGATTACAGTTCGAGGTGATAACAGAGAGCGGAAAAACCCCGCCAAACCTAATATCGTCTTTTACGGAGATTGAAATATTCTCAGATTGTCCCCACAAAAATTGTTTAGAAACGCGTACGTTTTATCCGATTCCCTCCAAACTTTGCCACAATGTTGAACAATATTACAGCGGCAAAACTGTGTTCGCGTTTTTTATTTAGTGCCATACTTTTCAAGTTATAGGCATCTATTCTGCCATTCTCCCAAAATTTAGATGAGTCAACTTCTCTGCTTTATATCAAAGCAAATATAATACCTGTCAAAAAACGCGAACACGGTTTTGTTCTTTGATCATTTGAGATGGGAAATATTATGTTTCGGAAGCCTTTGAGGTAAATCAGGAGCGTTCTAATCTCGTGGCGCAAAGGCCGTCATATTTTCAAAAGCAACCCGTAGCAAGTACAGTTTTTAAAGGTGTAGAATTTTTGGCAAATCGTTAGGTACAGCAATGATATATCATTATGCATGCAAAATTTGAAGGGGAAAACTTGAAAATTGAGCGCGCGGTGAGCATTTTGGTGAAATGGGTTTCCATCATGTGGAGTAACCTTAACCGGGAATTATAGTCCAGATCAAAATTACGTCTTTCAATATTGTTTGATGTTAGGCCAACATTGTTTGGCACCTTTATTTAAACGAGCCATTATATCTATAGTGATATTTTGTTACATGAATTTGTTTTACCAGTATACCTATATATCAAATACCTATTACTATATAAACCATCCTATAAATAGTTCAAATATCATATTAGCATATATCTATTATGCTTACTCATCATGCACCCCATGACTTCAAAATACAACTACCTAATCAAATTTTAACAGTTATTATTTCTCTTCTATACCACAGGGATTAAAAGCTTCAATATTTTGAGAAATGTATCGTTGAAAATCGTAGTTTATTTGGTCAAGAAACATACACACAATGGCTGGTAGTTTTGATGAGACTGCTCATGCTATAGACATATATAAATATGTAAACACCTCGTCCTCGACTAATAAAAGGTACAAGGAAAAAAATTTAAAAGAAATAGTAGCTGCTATATGTGCCATGCTAAACAGCAATGGTGGAAAAGTCGTGTTGTTTAACGAGTGCAAATTACTATCCTCCCAGATGTCACTGGCGATTCGAATACTAGAACAATCTATGGTGTCTATCATTGGAACACACCAGACTGTCTCGAAAATAAATTTCGAAGAAGATAAAGACAGCACAGTAATTGTAGTGGGAAAAGGTGATTTTTTAATAACAACTAATTATAACCTTTATTTACCAAGTGAAACCCAAGTTTTACTAGTGTCTCCTCTGGAACTACTAGAAAACGTCAAGAACGATTTCATCAACAGAAAAGTCATTCTGGAACCAGTCCAAATTCGCTCACATGAGAAAACATTTTTTTTATATGAAAAGTGTGGTTTTCAAGAAAGCAAAACGGTGATGTTAAAGCATCTAAAAGCATGTCCATCAAAGCGTACTAGATTAGCAGATCGCATGACTGGTAAAGGTAATAAATTCAGTCACTATGTTTCCGCGTTTGCCAACCATTCCGGAGGTCACATGTACTATGGTATCACAGATTGTACATTTGTTGAAGGCGAATTGATTCTAAATGTGGAAGACATCATTGAAATACCAAAGAAAGTTGAGAAAGTCATCAACAAAATGATCTGGCCTGAACAGATTGGTGAACCAAAACGAGGGAAACACTGGGATATTTTCTTCGAGCCAGTGTTAGATAAAAACTCCAAACCTATCCCATCAACCTTTGTGATCGTGATCTATATCGCTCCTTGTCTGGGTGGTGTGTTCACCGAGGAACCAGAATGTTATGAAATGGTGGAGGGGACAGTTGAGAAGATGTCGTTTACTGCTTGGAAGAAGAGAATTTTGGGACCAGTCGAGGTTGAGTCGGTCCCCCATGCAATTGGTAGCAGCATTACATGGATTTCAAAAAAGATTCGAAATCTTTGTATGAAAGCATTTTGTATTCTAACGTTTTCTTTAAATAATGGGGATTTCAGAGGATTCGAAAAAAATTCCAAGAAAATAGAAGAAGGATTTCCAGATATTGTCGAGCTCAAATTGGTGGTGTTGTTGAAAAAAATAATTTTGCGTTCCCGAAGACATAATTTTAAGACAGCAGATACATTGCTGGACGAGTACGACAAACTCCTATCAAATGCTACAGAACATCATATGTTTGAAGTGCTAGAGCTATGTGCACGTGTTGCGGTTACGCGGCCTAAAGGAGATCTTAACAGTATCCGCATTTTGTTTGTCGGTGCTTTGGCAAAGGCACAATGGCTTTCACCAGGTTTAGTTACAGCGCTAGTACACTTAGGTGCAGGAACAATGACGGACTGTTTTGATGATACATTTTTGCGTCCTCCAGATGTGCTCTCACGTAGCGCTCTGCAACACCTCCAACAAGTTATGTTGGATTGTCCCGAGGTATGCGCAGACCTGGAATACAAGGCCCATATCACCCTTGCGACGTTTTATCTGGGCTGTAACCTTTCTGGCGAGTTGGTCGCTGAACATGTTGACGACAGCCGTCTGAAGCAGGCCAACTCTAGTATAATGGCCATTGAACAATCAGGGCGCAAACCCACATGTTATCGCGAGATCCAGCTCAACCTGGTCAAGTCGATTTATCGTTTCCGACGTTCAGAAAACCAACCTAAAGAAAGAATGCGCTTTATGCGGGAGGCGTTTGAATACTCAAAAAAAAGTGAAAATCTCGCCCGGAGATGGCAATTCTTAGAAATGGTTTCGTGGAGCAAATCACTGCAAGGATTGATCACTGAAAAATTGGTGCGTACAAAAATTGGTGAATGCAGCATTATGCATACAAAGTTCTTATGATATGTGAAATCACAAAGCTCTTAAAGTACGATGGCCGAGAAGGGACTTCTGACTTTCCGAGATTCCGAGTTTGCAACATTCCAAGTATCTGAGTTTCCAAGTTTCGACGTTTCTCAAAGGGATTTGGAGTTTTGGAAATTTCCCCTCTAAAGACAGTGGTGTACGACATGTTTTGAGGAGATCAATAATATAATATAACTGTAATACAATTTGGTATCACATGGTAAGGCATGTCAATTAATGCGGGTAACGTTGATTGTAAAAAAAATGGAGAAATTAAGGAACTGCATGTGATTAGCCCGAACTGTTTATTGAAGCTTAGATTAAAACATTAAGAACATGCCAACATGTCCAATAAATTGCCCAATAACGATGTTATACTGATTAGAATTTCTCCTCTGTCGCAGGTATCTCATAAGTAGTATAGGGAAGAGGGGTTCTGGAGCGGGTGGTGCACTAAGCCATGACATTGACATCATTACAGTGTATTTCATACCAATTACACGCGCTTGTAATGTATTTAAAAAGTGTGTACCAATAATTACTAGCATTTTAAGAAAATTTTTAGAGTTTAATACTTTGGCAACTTTGCTAATATTTATCCCCACATATATTCCTTCTAACAAACCGTCGTGAAACCAAAGATTAGATACTATAAAGATGTGCCACTCGACGTATTTCCCTAATGTTTGCGTGTCCGTAATTTTCACGGCTTACTGCCAAAATGGCGGCGAGACTGATGGCGTTGGATTTTACTATTTAGAGACTGATGGCGTTGAATTTGACACTTACTGGCAAAATGGCGGCTATAAAAAATCTCGGACATAATTTTCGCCAGTGTGACCAGGTTTTTGAGAACATCCGGTTTCAAAAATTACTATTTTCGGTCTAAAATTACCACGGTGCTATATTTTCCCAATTTTACCATGTTTTTTCGATTTTTTCCCCAAAAATGCTGGCGAGCGGGCAAAAAATTTTTTCCGGAGAACAATTTTTTCCGGAGAACCAGGGGCGCCGGAAGAAATGTGAAGCGGGGGGGGGGGGCAGCCATTTCAAAAGGGCACTTGCGATCTACGCGTGCCCCTATATGTAACATAAGGTTTTTAACCCTGCCCCTATATGTAACATGACTCGTACTGGAATTAACGTGAAAATATTACGTCACTTAATTAAACATTGCGTCATTATGTAACAATAACATGCCCCTATATGTAACATCACGTTACCACCCCTGCTCATAATTTTTGTGGGCGGCAATATTTGTTAAAACTTTATTGTATGGATACCCGATTATTTGTGGCTATTGTGGGTCGGCAAACTTCGACATTAATTTTGAGCAATTTTATTTGTTGCACTATGTTAATTAAAGGGCGCAAAATAAAATCAATAAACGGACGTATATATATTGCCTGATTTAGCATTAATCAGGGGCCGCGGAACCAGGGGTAATGGCAGCATGTTCCTCCCCACCTTTTTAAAAGTGAAAAAAATGCCCTTTTGGGGGCTAGAAAGAAAGTGCCCTTTTTGCAGTAGTAAAGACTCTGTAAAGGCCATGTAAAGGCCATTCCCGACGTTATATTCCATATTATACTCCATATTTATATACGACGTTATACTCCATATTTTCAAAAAAGTTTCGTTCGGCTCGTGCATGGACGCCGGAACTGGGGGCAGGAGGGGCAGCTGCCCCTCTTGCCTTTTGCTAGGGGGGACAAGGGGGCAGAAGTGCCCTTTCAGTTGTAAAATACTACCTGATAAATCACATTTCCAGTGATGCTTTTTCGGGCAAAATCATGAGATTCAGGTAATTTATAGGCCCAGAGAAAGTTAATTTACAAAAATAAGTGTGAATTTGGAAAAGAATGAGGTTAATTTACAAAAATTTTAGGAAATTTTTGGATTTTAGAAAAAAATTGTGGCTAAATGGAGAAAATTGCTGTCGTCCTGAAAATTTTTTTTACGTCACGAAAAATTTTGGTATGTCCGGAAAAAGTTTTTGACCCCTAAAATGGTACACTGACCGAAAAAAAAAATTTCATGTAAAAAATTTTTTTTTTTCAGGTAAATTTCTATATGATATGCCCTTGGTGTGCATCTTCCCCCCCCCCCTTGCCTTTTTATCGTTCCGGCGTCCCTGGGCTCGTGCACGACATAAAACTCGTTTGATTTTGAGTCATAATTATACAAAAGTGATTCCGCGGCCTCTGGCATTAATTTTACTATAACTGGTTAAAATTAAGCAAAGATTGCTTAAGGTTACAGGCACCCTTTTTGGCGTTTTGTGGAAAATCGCTACTGCCGCTCAAAATCAGTCCGATTTTCATCAAATTTTCACCAAATGTTAGCCAGTGCATGCAAAATATGATAAAGTTGTAAAATTGACAAACAATAAAATAATGTAAGGATTATTCAGGAAAATCTTAAGTCTCGGTACCTTTACGCTTTTGAGTTATGTTCCTGCTGGTTTTAAAATATATTTATGAAAATATCATTTTTATACAGTAAAATAGTTGTTCTAAAAAATTGTGTTCGGAAATTTTTGTTTATTTCGTCATTCCGCTGATATGGCGATTTCTTTGACGACTGCAACATATTTCTGAATCGTTTGTGTGAATTGCTCCTTATTATTAGAATATCCAAAATTAGAACAAAGCCGAACACAATTTTGAAGCTGACGTCTTTAGCTATGTCCTGTGGAAATTTGAGAAAAATTCGTTAAAACCCGCAGGAGCACAACTCGTTTAAAAATCAGTAATTGCCGTAAAATTCTTCGGGAGAAAATTGAATTTGAATATTACATTTTCAATGTTTTTGTATCTGCGCGGAGCGCTAGATACTATGCTATCGAGTTTGTGCGTTAAACACTCAGGTCGACTAATTAGGGCTGTATGCCTGCGAACAGGCCGTAAAACAAAGATGGCGGCTTTCTACAGAGTGACGATTGTTTTATCCTAGAAGATTAATTTATTTATTTCGTCCAATCATTATGGTAATTATTTACATAAAAGTATTAAAGCTACAACTTTAAATAGGGCAAGGAGTCTAAAGAAACCTTCATAGGCTTTTAAGGTAAGGCCCTAGTTTAATGTCCAGTGCAAAGTTTTATATTGTGTCAATCAGTGCCAGTAAAAGTATTTACAAGAATATGAAGATTAAACAATATTGCTTTCACTAGTAAGAATAAAGTACATAAGAAGGAGAAAATTTGGAGAGCTATAAAGACATAATCTGTTAATTACATGAATATGAATTAGACTTCCTTGTTTAAAATATAAGTTCACTAGATTGTATTGACAATGTCAATTATGTATTTTCGATTTTTTTTAAAGATTGGTAGTGATGTTATTTTTGTCAAGCTAACATCAAGATTATTCCGAACATCCACTCCTTTCACTGAGAGTGAGTGCTTAGTATAATTAGTTCAATGGCAATGCATATGAAGTTTCGACGAGTTTCGGGTACTGTATTACTATTGGTGATGTTACTTCGAAAATGGCATTTGCAGCATTCTGAGAACACATTTTGTTAAAAACTAGGTTTTCAAAACACTGTTTTAATTAATGGTATTAAATTACAATGTTTTAATTAATGGTACTATTATATAAGTGTGATTTGTATTATTTGGTACAAGATTTTTACAGTTTATGTGTCTGCCACTGGCAGTTGACTGACAGTTGATTGCAGTAGAGAAGAGACTGCAATCTGAACATTTTTTGTCATATCATCAAATATAAACAAAGCGACTAGCCGGCAGCTGGGTATTTATGATAGTGACTATAGTTAAATATAAAAAAACTTTTGTTTGCGCTAGCTTTCACCGAGCTTACCGTTAGAGTGTATGGTAGGCACTGTGTGCGGAAAGTGAAACGCAGTCTGGGTCGGGTTGTGTTTTGTTTGACTTAGCATTTTTTCTTAGTCACTATATAGCCGGCAGATTACTAAATAGCTGGCTGCCAGCTGTATAGTCACTTCGAAATTTAAATGTTTACTCAATAATTATGAATGAATTTTTTTCATAGCAACCATGGATTTCCTTTGCGCAGATACATGTACGCTTAGCGTACCTATTTTTCTTATTGCAAGCGAAATGTATTTTATTAAATAACTCTGCGAGTTTTCAACTACATTTTTCGTCCAAACTTGGTCAGATAGTAGAACTAGTCTAATGCTTTCATGGAAACCAATAAAAAAATTTTAGGCAAAATTAACACTCGAAGGTGTTCTGTAACCTTAAACATTGCTTAAAAATAGTTATAAATTCCAATTGACCATTTGCGTAATAGACTAAATTTTGATCTAGACAAAAATTTCATCACAGCTTGAAAGAGCATCACAAAATTAGTAATATTCCAACGTTTCGTTGCAAAATGTTGTAAAATGCGGATAATATAGCCTTGCGAAGTTTGCAATTTTCAGTCATTTTAGATTACAAACTAACAAACGGGAAATTGACAGCCCGATACGCTTTGAGACCAAAATCTGTACATTTAAGGTCAGGAAATTTCAAATTACCACAATCGGCCGTAATTGACGAAAAATTACCACGGTAGTTCTGAAATTACCGTAGTAATTACCACAAATTTCCAATTACTACAATCGTCCAAAAATGACGAAAAATTACCACGGTAGTAATGAAATTACCACATCTGGTCACACTGATTTTCGCAGAGTGGCACATCTTTATAGTATCTATTGTTGTAATGCTTGTGGGACGTAGATATTTTACGCATGCGCAGTGAGAATTGTGTATTACGAAAATTAATTCCGGACTTATAGGAGTTTGCAAAGATTCCGGTGGGAATTTTGCATTGAATATCTCAGTTTATATTCAAAATTCTACGGAAGCCTTGAAGGGACTTCAGACTTCAAACACTGAGAACAAAGATCAGTAACAGAAGGGTCACTAAGCGGTGCAACGTGTCGGCCAACATGCGCAATGCAACATATGCGCGAGGACAGAAGCTTCAAAGCTTAATTTAATTTAATTTATTAACTTCGCCAGTTATTACAAAGTAATAATTTAACGAATTAACGGACCATAGACTATATGGCAGGGTATTCGCAACAGCGATTAGCCTATTAGTGCGAACCCAAGAACAATACACCCTTTTCATAAATGGCTGCCGATTAAAAATTATTTTATGTGCATATAAATTGGCCCAACTAGCCTCGTTTCTGGGTAGAAATTCCTTTGAAATCTTAACATGAGTACGAGGCTAGTTGGGCCAATTTATATGCACATAATTTTTAATCGGCAGCCATTTATGAAAAGGGTGTATACGTTAATATCAAATAGCAAAGAAACTAACAACTCACTTCATGCATTTATGCAACTACAGTGAGTATTTAGCTAGCTAGTAGCTACGGCAACTGATCAAGCTATGATAATAACATGCACTAGCTGAAAAGAAATTGAACAAATCAATGCATGCCAACGATACACCGTAGCCAATTTATATG